GGAGCAGGCAGGTGCTGACAGGAGCAGACAGGAGCTGACAGGAGCAGGCAGGAGCTGACAGGAGCAGGCAGGTGCAGGAGCATGACAGGAGCAGGCAGGAGCTGACAGGAGCAGGCAGGAGCTGACAGGAGCAGAGAGGTGCTGACAGGGGCAGACAGGAGCTGACAGGAGCAGGCAGGAGCTGACAGGAGCAGGAGCAGGAGCAGGCAGGCAGGCTGACAGGAGCAGGCAGGAGCAGGGAGCAGGCAGGAGCTGACAGGAGCAGGCAGGAGGAGCTGAGCAGGAGACAGGAGCAGGAGCAGGGAGCTGACAGGAGCAGGCAGGAGGAGCAGGAGCAGGAGCTGACAGGAGCAGACAGGAGCTGACAGGAGCAGGCAGGAGCTGACAGGAGCACAGGAGCTGACAGGAGCAGGAGGTGGTTGTTTGTTTACTCGAGTAATCTGATCCTGCAGAGTCGATGCAAATCAAATCTGCTCAGACAAACTGCAGCTCCAGACTTTTACTTTTACAGTCGGGTTGAGTTTGAGTTTGAGTTTGAGAAAATCGCTCATGTTTCAGTTTTACTCATTTCATTTTCAAATAATTAAAGCCACAGTGTGTAACTTTTTAGTAAAAAAGTTAATATGACGAGCGTCTGAACAGAAACACAGAAGTGTCGTCGCGTCTTCACTTTTTAGTCGAGTGTTTTCAGGAGTAAATCTGCAAAAGTGTGTGAAGTGGATCGTGTGTGTGTGTGTCAGGTTTGTGTGTCCTGTTTGTTTGTGACGTAAACTCGTACACGACCTGAGCACATGTGACCAGAGTTTTGTGTCTTGGTCAGTGGAGACAGAAACTCTACGGTGGAGAATATTCAACTTTTACACTCTGGAGGTGGGTTCAGATTTTGATGATGTTTTTAAGCCCCAAAAACTCCGTCACCGTTTAAACGAAAAACACTTCACATCAAATATTTAGTGTTTTTTACTCGTGTGAACAGAACCTGAATCAAAATAATTTTCATTTTGATGGTTTTATTGCTCTGAAGAACATGTTTCGTTATTTTCTCCACAAACCTCCAAACTCTTATTTAATCTGGAGTAGAGCCTCCTCCTGTTTGTTTCCATGGCAACGTTCCTCTGGCTGTAATATTCCACAGTGACACAAAATGTTCTGAAGTCTGTAAAATCAGGTCCCTCCCCGCGTGTGTCGGGTCCCTCCCCGCGTGTGTCAGGTGCCTCCCCGCGTGTGTCGGGTGCCTCCCCGCGCATCCCTCCCCGTGTCCCTCCCCGTGTGTCGTGCCCTGTCAGGTCCCTCCCGCGTGTGTCAGGTCCCTCCCCGCGTGTGTCGGGTCCCTCCCCGCGTGTGTCGGGTCCCTCCCCGCGTGTGTCAGGTCCCTCCCCGCGTGTCCCCTCCCCGCGTGTGTCAGGTGTCCCTCCCCGCGTGTCGGTCCCTCCCCGCGTGTGTCAGTCCCTCCCCGCGTGTGTCAGGTGCCCTCCCCGCGTGTGTCGGTGTCCCTCCCCGCGTGTGTCAGGTCCCTCCCCGCGGTGTGGTGCCCTCCCCGCGTGTGTCGGGTGCCCTCCCCGCGTGTGTCGGGTGCCCTCCCCCGCGTGTGTCGGTCCCTCCCCGCGTGTGTCGGTGCCCTCCCCGCGTGTGTCAGGTCCCTCCCCGCGTGTGTCAGGTGCCCCCTCCGCGTGTGTCCCCTCCCCGCGTGTGTCAGGTGCCCTCCCCGCGTGTGTCGGGTTCCCTCCCCGCGTGTGTCAGGTCCCTCCCCGTGTGTCAGGTGCCCTCCCCGCGTGTGTCAGGTGCCCTCCCCGCGTGTGTTCAGGTCCCTCCCCGCGTGTGTCGGGTGCCCTCCCCGCGTGTGTCAGGTCCCTCCCCGCGTGTGTCGGGTGCCCTCCCCGCGTGTCAGTGTGTGTCGGGTGCCCTCCCCGCGTGTGTCGGGTGCCCTCCCCGCGTGTGTCAGGTTCCCTCCCCGCGTGTGTCGGGTGCCCTCCCGCGTGTGTCAGGTCCCTCCCCGCGTGTGTCGGGTGCCCTCCCCGCGTGTGTTGTGGGCCCTCCCCGCGTGTGTCGGGTGCCCTCCCCGCGTGTGTCGGGTCCTCCCCGCGTGTGCATCCCTCCCCGCGTGTGTCAGGTCCCTCCCCGCGTGTTGCCTCCCGTGTGTCAGGTCCCTCCCCGCGTGTGTCAGGTGTCCTCCCCGTGTGTCAGGTCCCTCCCCGTGTGTGTCAGGTCCCTCCCCGTGTGTCAGGTCCCTCCCCGTGTGTCAGGTCCCTCCCGTGTGTTCAGGTCCCTCCCCGTGTGTCCAGGTCCCTCCCCGCGTGTGTCAGGTGTCCTCCCCGTGTGTGTCAGGTCCCTCCCCGTGTGTGTCAGGTCCCTCCCCGTGTGTCAGGTCCCTCCCCGTGTGGTCGGTGTCCCTCCCCGTGTGTCAGGTCCCTCCACGTGTGTCAGGTCCCTCCCCGCGTGTGTCGGTCCTCCCCGTCCTCCCCGCGTGTGTCAGGTCCCTCCCCGCGTGTGTCGGGTGTCCCCGTGTCAGGTCCCTCCCCGTGTGTCAGGTCCCTCCCGCGTGTGTCAGGTCCCTCCCCGCGTGTGTCAGGTCCCTCCCCGCGTGTGTCAGGTCCCTCCCCGCGTGTGTCAGGTCCCTCCCCGCGTGTGTCAGGTCCCTCCCCGCGTGTGTCAGGTCCCTCCCCGTGTGTCAGGTCCCTCCCCGTGTTGTCAGGTCCCTCCCGTGTGTCAGGTCCCTCCCCGTGTGTGTCCCTCCAGTGTGTATCCAGAAAGTTCCACACTGTGACTTTAAGAGACTGAAGCTGCAGACGACTGAAGCTCGTCTAAATGCTGTTTACAATCACACTAATGATACACACACACACACACACACACACACACACACACACACACACACACACGACACACACACACACTAAACACACACACACACACACACACACACTACACACACACACACACACACACACACACACACACACACACACACACACACACACACACACACACACACTACACACACACACACACACACACACACACAACACACACACACACACACACACACACACACACACACTAAACACACACACACACACACACACACACACACACAAACACACACACACACACTAAACACACACAACACACACACACACACAAACAGACACACACACACTAAACACCACTCCCCTCTTCATCATCATCACCAGACCTGACCTGACAGAGACCTGGTTTAGTTCTGGTTTAGACCTGGTTTAGATCTGGTTTAGACCTGGTTTAGATCTGGTTTAGATCTGTTTTAGTCCTGGTTTAGACCTGGTTTAGTTCTGGTTTAGTCCTGGTTTAGATCTGTTTTAGTCCTGGTTTAGTCCTGTTTTAGACCTGGTTTAGTTCTGGTTTAGTCCTGGTTTAGTCCTGGTTTAGATCTGTTTTAGTCCTGGTTTAGACCTAGTTTAGTTCTGGTTTAGTCCTGCTTTAGACCTGGTTTAGACCTGGTTTAGTCCTGGTTTAGCCCTGGTTTAGTCCTGGTTTAGTCCTAGTTTAGTCATGGTTTAGACCTGGTTTAGTCCTGGTTTAGACCTGGTTTAGTCCTGGTTTAGACCTGGTTTAGTCCTGGTTTAGACCTGGTTTAGTCCTGGTTTAGACCTTGTTTAGTCCTGGTTTAGTTGTTTAGTCCTGGTTTAGTCCTGGTTTTAGTTGGTTTAGTCCTGGTTTAGACCTGGTTTAGTGGTTTTGTCCTGGTTTAGTCCTGGTTTAGTCCTGGTTTAGTCCTGGTTTAGACCTGGTTTAGTCCTGGTTAGACCTGGTTTAGACCTGGTTTAGTCCTGGACCTGGTTTAGTCCTGGTTTAGTCCTGGTTTTAGACCTGGTTTAGTCCTGGTTGGTTTAGACCTGGTTTAGTCCTGGTTTAGACCTGGTTTTAGTCCTGTTTAGTCCTGGTTTTAGACCTGGTTTAGATCTGGTTTAGTTCTGGTTTAGTCCTGGTTTAGACCTGGTTGGTTTAGACCTGGTTTAGTCCTGTTTAGTCCTGGTTTAGACCTGGTTTAGACCTGGTTTAGACCTGGTTTAGTCCTGTTTAGTCCTGGTTTAGTCCTGGTTTAGACCTGGTTTAGTCCTGGTTTAGTCCTGGTTTAGTCCTGGTTTAGTCCTGGTTTAGTCCTGGTTTAGTCCTGTTTAGTCCTGTGTTTAGTCCTGGTTTAGTCCTGGTTTAGACCTGGTTTAGTCCTGGTTTAGTCCCTGAGTTTCTGTCTCTGTTTTGGGCTGTGGCCAAAATATCGATATATCGTGTCATTTAATGTGGTGATTCAGTATCGGTATCGTGTTCTGTTGTATCGATATTTCACCAAGAGGATTTTTTGGTTTATTTGACTCAGTGATTTAGTTCCAGCTCCAGTTTTGTTGTTTGTTCAGAAGGAAACTCGTTTCTGCGACACATTTGACATTTTCACTGTTTTGACGATTAAAATGTTTAAAATGTTTCATATGAACTTTACACAAAAAGTGATTTAACAAAGACTTTTACTGTCACAGACATGATTTACACTTTATTTTTATTGAACCGTATCAAATATTTTTTTAATTGATGTAATATATATAAATACTGAATCAAAATGTGACTGTACAGAGGAGTGTGCGTCGTATCGTGGTCTGTGTATCGAGGTTTGTGTCGCTTCGGCAGTTTCTTAATGCCCCCCCGCCCTGGTGTGTGCTGCCTCAGGTCTCTGTGTGTGTGTGTGTGAGTGTGTGTGTGTGTGTGTGTGTGTGTGTGTGTGAGTCTGACTCTGCAAACCACAGAGCTCCTCCTCCTCCTCCTCCTCCTCCTCCTCCTCCTCCTCCTGGGATCCGTCTCCGTCCGACCCCCTCGTCTTGTCCACTGTCCTCAGATCTGAAATAAACAAAATATACATAGTTTGAAACACATTAAATAAATCCAACACAGATGCATCTAAATAAATGTTGGACAGAACTTCTGAGCTGCGTTTGTGCGAGTTTGACTTTGTGTTTGTGTTTGTGTTTGTGCAGATTCCGGATGATCAGTGTGTAGGACGGGACCGACCTGTGGCTCAGGTAAGACTCATGATTCACATTTTAAAAAGCCCATCTCATGTCAAATCAAAGTTTCAGATCTTTAAACCTTCTCAGACTGATGTGTGGGCCTTGTATTTGTCGCTCAGTAGGCGAGTTTCAGCTGACGTCATTGTTATTAAAAGCCTGCGTTGCTGCTGGGAAATATTCTGGTCGGAGGCAGAAACACGGTAGCGTCAAACACAGTGTGTAACCTCCGTGTATTTATCCCCGATAATGTTAAATTCCTGCTGCATTATCAGGACGCACAAATAGAAACACGGAAGAAGGAAAATGTCTTTTTCGTATTCTGAGTGAAAAGAACCACTAACGGTGAATTAAACGACTTTCAAACGTCCGCAGAGCAAACGTAGAAGATCCTAACAAACCGTGGACTCAACAAGTTCAACAACACATCCAGACTCTTGGAGGTTTTCATCTTTTCTGCTGTGAATGGCCCAGGAGTTTCACCAAGTCATTGTGGATGTCGCCCAAGTGAATATTTGTCCAGGGAGTTGGAGATTCAGACCAGAAGTTTGGTTTGGTCCAGACTCTGTCGGGGTTGAAAAGGGTGATTTGTCGTCCGTCGATGTTTATGACCAATTTCTGGTCAAATGGTCTTGGGTCGTCTGCTGTTAGAGTGGAGAAATAACCGGGATCAATACCCTTTACGTGTTTTCTCGCTCCGTCCGTCAGGTTCAATTAGTGTTTCTTGCCGCCGACCAAAATAATTCCCAGCATGCAACGCACGCTTTTGTCAACAATGAAACTCGACTATTGGTTTTTAGTTTGATTTGGCGTTTTTTTTTTTAAACAAATTGCAGTGTATTTCTGCCTCCCACGTGACAATGAACTAAAGCTGCTACAGCGACGACGCGTCTGACGAAGCAGAAAACGCTTCACGAGCCTGTGTTTTCTCAGGACGGTCGGGGGACGAGCGATAGTCAGACTTTCATAGTTCCTGGTCTGTAACTGATCCAAGAAATCAGGAAGATTTCAGAACTATTGTGTCATGGATGTTCCAAAACCCAAACTGTGCTTGTTTATGTGCAGAAGACACAATGTGAAAAGAGTTATTTTACATCAGATGGAACATTTAAAACTTCTGAACACTTAAAAAAAATATATCAAATATGGCTCGTGCTGGTAATTTTACTAAATTTGTCCTCACCTGGATTTTTTTATTCTTAATTTTGCGTTTAAACCTCCTCCGTTTTCCCCCTAATGAAGTGTTACACATCATTTTTTTCACTTCAAACTGTTATTTCACAATCTGCTGCTGGAGTCGTGTCATGAGGCTGAAATAAAAACTACAGGACCAGAAATACACATGAAAACTGAAAATAAACTCTTTCACACAAACATGTAGAAACAACTTTTTGGACATAAAAAAGCTTAATTTCGTGCTTTAGCTACAAAAGTGCAAAATATCAAGTCTGTAAATAAACTAAAAATCTCCTTATTGCCTCAAAATTAAAAAAAAACCTAAAAGTGCAGTGTCCTCATGACTTGACTGGTGCAGGTCGTGGAAACAGCTGGAGTCAGGTCCAGGTCACAGAGACACGTCACTTCTGCATTTCCATGGAGTTTAATACGTTTGGATTTGGACATTTGAATTTGAATTTATTTTGAATTTATTTGTTTGGAGGATAAATCTGTCTCGTTTTCAATGGGTCAAAATAAATACAACGACAAAACACAAATACACACACAACACAAACACACACACTCACACACACACACACTGACACACACACACTCACACACACACACACACACACACACACACACACACACACACACACACACACTCACACACACTCACACACACACACACACACACACACACACACACACACACACACACACACACACACACACACTACACACACAACACACACACACACACACACACTAACACACACACACACACACACTCACACACACACACACACACACACACACACACACACACACACACACACACTCACACACACACACACACACACACACTCACACACACACACACACACACACACACACACACACACACACACACACACACACACACACACACACACACACACACACACACTCACACACACACTCACACACACACACACACACACACACTCACACACACACACACACACACACACACTCACACACACACACACACACTCACACATACACACACACACACACACACACACACACTTGACTGTTTTGACACATAATAAAAAAAAAAAAAACATAATAAAAATAAATAAATAAAAATAAATATAATAATAATAAAATAAATATAATAATAAAAATAAAACATATTATTATAATAATTAATAATAATAATAATAATAATAATAATAAATGCATAAATAAATAAATAAATAAAACAGAGTTCAAAGATAATCAAAGAATTCAACAAAATGAACAAAAACCATGACACGGATTCTGTAAATATTGAACCAGAGCATTTTTAAATGAAGCGACAGAAGGACATTTGGACTCAAATAAATCTGAAAATAAAAATATCAAGAGACGCACAATCACACAGACCAACATGTGTCATTTGTTCATTTATGTGAGGAAATCTGTGCGACTTTTTCACTTGTTCTGAAAACAGACGTTCAGAACATCGACCAGTTTGACTCACTTCACTCTTGGGCAAAGTTTGGACCAATCAAAATGGACGGAGCGACTGAGTTTTTATAAAATATTCCCAGGTGTTGTGTGTGATATTGTGCGTCTGTCATATTCAGACTCTGTGGTTATGACAGAGCTCAGGATAATCCAGGACTCACTCCGGATTAAAGACCTCGTCCAGAACGTGGGGGGGCCAGGGGGCCAGGGGGGGGCCAGGGGGGGGGGGGCAGGGGCTATACTTGGTTTTCCGCTTCTCTCCACATGGACACAGACTCTACAGGCGAGTTTCATTGTTGACAAAAGCGTGCGTTGCATGATGGGAATTATTTTGGTCGAGGGCAAGAAACACTAATTGAACCTGACAGACGGAGTGAGAAAACACGTAAAGGGTATTGATCCTGGTTATTTCTCCACTCTAACAGCAGAGGACCCAAGACCATTTGACCAGAAATTGGTCATAAACATCGACGGACGACAAATCACCCTTTTCAACCCCGACAGAACCTGGACCAAACCAAACTTCTGGTCAGAATCTCCAACTCCCTGGACAAATATTCACTTGGGCGACATCCACAATGACTTGGTGGAAACTCCTGGGCCATTCACAGCAGAAAAGATGAAAACCTCCAAGAGTCTGGATGTGTTGTTGAACTTGTTGAGTCCACGGTTTGTTAGGATCTTCTACGTTTGCTCTGCGGATGTTTGAAAGTCGTTTAATTCACCGTTAGTGGTTCTTTTCACTCAGAATACGAAAAAGACATTTTCCTTCTTCCGTGTTTCTATTTGTGCGTCCGATAATGCAGCAGGAATTTACCATTATCAGGGAGAAATACACGAGGTTACACACTGTGTTTGACGCTACCGTGTTTCTGCCTCCGACCAAAATATTTCCCAGCAGCAACGCGGACTTTTAATAACAATGACATCAGCCGAAACTCAACTATCGTGAACTTTAGACTCAGTTTCTTGCTCTTTGTTTTTCTGTTTCTGCGTTGCGTCTCAGACTTGTGCGTTTGTTTTCATCGAACTCAAACTTGCACAAAAACTTTCTCAATCATTTGACCTGAAAAGTTTAGTTTGTGCGGCTTTAGTTTGTGAAATATTAATGATTCTTTTACAGTTCAAATTCAGCCTCCGGAAAACTTTAAAATGAAATAAAACGACACAAAACAGAGTCAGTCGTTTGTGTTACTCTGGATCTTCAGACATGAACAGTTTTATTTAAACAGAAAGTTTCTTTCACTGGAAAATGTCAAAGTGGACGAGGTACAAACCCGAGACACCGACTGAAAATATGAAAAGTCCTTCATTTCACGAAGAGACGCCAACGAGTTTCGACCAGTGAGATGTGTTACATTCCTCATGGGCAGTGTTGTGAAGTTTACTTTTAAAATGTAATCCCCTACAGATTACAGATTACACACCCCAAAATGTAGTTTGTAACAGAATCCATTAAATTACTTAAAGTGAGTAATGTAATCTGATTACTTTGGATTACTTGATTTGTTGTAGAGAAACAAAGACGAGGAAATCTTCACATAAAATGTTTTGTCTGATAAAAGAAAATAAAAAGTCCAAACTTTACTGAACCAAATTAAAAATATTATTGATAAAAGACGAGGAAACACGTCCACACAGCAGGATTTAGTCCTGTTCAATCCTGGTTTAGTCCTGGTTTAGTCCTAGGTTTAGTCCTGGTTTAGTCCTGGTTTAGTCCTGGTTTAGTCCTGGTTTAGTCCTGGTTTAGAGTCCTGGTTTAGACCTGGTTTAGACCTGGTTTAGTCCTGGTTTAGTCAAGACCTGGTTTAGACCTGGTTTAGTCCTGGTTTAGACCTGGTTTAGACCTGGTTTAGTCCTGGACCTGGTTTAGTCCTGGTTTAGTACCTGGTTTTAGACCTGGTTTAGTTCCTGGTTTAGTCCTGGTTTAGTCCTGGTTCAGTCTCTATGTGTATGTAAATCTTTTTGTTTGTTTTTGTTTTTTGTTTTGGAGGTTGCTCGTCTTTTTCCACTTGTCATGTGATGTCGTCATGTGATGTCGTCATGTGATGTCGTCATGTGATGTCATGTGATGTTGTCATGTGATGTTGTCATGTGATGCCGTCATGTGATGCCGTCATGTGATGTCGTCATGTGATGTCGTCATGTGATGTCGTCATGTGATGTTGTCATGTGATGTTGTCATGTGATGTCGTCATGTGATGTCGTCATGTGATTAATAACTGATGGTTTTGAATGACTCCTGTGTCTTGTTTTACTTCTTCACTTTTACATTTTCCAGTAACTTTCTGTTTAAAGATGATTTGACCCTCGTTGACCTGCTGTTTTTACTCTTTTATTCTTTCTTCTTTTTCAACAGTTTT